TTATTTTTGTAATGTTGACTGTTGATAGACATTGCTCAGGGATCTTCAGGCACATGGCACCTCAATTTAACACCCTGCCTGAAATATGGCACCTCGGACACCATGGCACTCTGTCAGTGCTGCACTGGAGTGTGAGCCCTGGAGTGGGATCCAAACCCACTTGGGAGTTCTAGTTCAGGATTCTCTTAAGGTTAAAATATATTTTGGTGGGCAGTTAGGAAGGCAAATGTAATGTTAGCATTCATTTCAAGACGGCTAAAATACAAGAGCAGAGATGTACTTCTGAGGTTGTATTAGGCTCTGGTCAGACCACATGTGGAATATTGTGAGCAGTTTGGGGCCCTGTATTGAAGGAAGGATGTGCTGGCATTGGAAGGGGTCCAGAGGAGGTGATTTATCATATGACGAGTGGGATCTATACTTGATGGAATTTAGAAGGATGAAGGGGAATCTGATTGAAACTGAAGACTAGGAGGCCTGTACAAAGTCGATACGGAGAAGATGTAGGAGAGAGTAGGACCTTGGGGCATAATCTCAGAGTGAAGGGACAACCTTTTAAAACTGAGATGAAGAGGAATTTCTTCAGCCAGAGGGTGGTTAATCTGTGGAACTCATTGCCACAGAAGGCTGTGGAGGCCAAGGCATTGAGTGTAATTAAGACAGAGGTAAATAGGTTCTTGATTAGTAAGGGGATCAAGGGTTACAGGAAGAAAGCAGGAAAATGGGGTTGAGAAACATATCAGCCATGATCATGGATCATGGTGGAGCAGACTCGATGGGCTGAATGGCCTAGTTCTGCCTCTATATCTTATGACCTTATGGGCTCTCAACAGGGCCACTTGACAGAACATGATGTGAGTCAGATTAGTTAGTTGTTTCTAATTCAAAATAGTTGTATGATGCTAATCACTCTACTAGCTCTGTCTTAGTTAATATTTTATTGATTCTCATATCCTTGAACGTGAATCACAAAATGTTAGCATGTAGGTACAGCAGTTAGTTAGAAAGGAGAATGGAAAGTTGGCCTTTATTGGGGGATGGAGAACAAATTGGGTTAGTGTTGTTACAATTCTATAGCACCTTTGTGAAACCACATCTAAGATATTTTGTATAATTTTGGTCTCCTTAATTAAGAGGGGAATATATGTGCATTCGAAGCAATCCACTGAAGGTTCATTCGGTTGATTCCTAGGATGAAGGCATTTGTCTTATGAAGAAATGGGTTAGACATGTACTCACTGATGTTTGGAAGAATAAGAGAGGTCTCATTGAAACATTTAAGATCCTGAAGGGGTTTGACCTGGGAAATACTGAGAGAGTGTTTCCCTATGTGGGGGAATGTTGGCTGGGGTCACTGTTTCAAAATAAATGACCTTACATTTAAGATGGAGATCAGGAGAAATCTGTTTGTGGCAGAGTCACCATTTGTTATGGACTGTGAAGTAGAATTCCAGTGAAGTTGGGTTATTGAAATTATTCAGGGTTGCATTAGATAGACATTTGATTGACAAAGTTATTAGGACAGACAGGAATGTGGAGTTAGTCATAGTCTGTTCAACTATGATTTTCTTGAATGGAGGACCAGATCTGATGTACTGGTTGACTCCTCTTTAATTACTAATGATATTATTTATCACAGCCATTTTGCTACTATTGCTTTGAAAGTGCATGATGAATTTTCTTTTGATCAACTTTGTTCAATTTATTTATGTTTTATGTTGAGAGTGTAATTTTAAAAAAGCACGCCAGACATTGCCATCTTATTTCAGTCATTTCCTCCTCCTTCCATCCCTGGGGAGAGCGAAGGTGTGAACAAATCTTGTGCAACATACTCCTTCAGCAAGTTACCTCATTCTCCAATCAGAGTGGTCAGCATGATTTCTTCAGCATGGAGACAAGATGAGCTTGATTTCATCTTATTGTGGCCTCCTGCTGCATATTTTGTGTGATTTCTTGCAAGAAAGGAGGAAGTGTGTTAATGACTGTCTTGTAGATTACATGCAGACTGTACCAACTGAGGTAGGATGTGAGCTGTGGGGTAGTGAAGATTGCTATGGTGGTAAGAGTAGTAAGTCTGAGATAACAAGGTGTAGAGCTGGATGAACACAGCAGGCCAAACAGCATCATAGGAGCAGGAAGGCTGACGTTTCGGGCCTAGATCCTTCATCAGGAATGGGGGAG